AAAAAAAAACACTCCCTGAATGAAGCTCTTGAGCCACAAGTAGAGAGGGCCAGGTGATAGGGAAAATATCTCAAAGACGCTGTTCTTTGCTTTGGGCAAGTGGGTCATGAAGCAAACACCAAAAAGTCACACAATGTCAAACTCTTCTCTCTGCATGAATAAAGCCCACTCATTTGTCAGGGCTTTGCCTCAAAGAAGCCTCCACTAATCGCAGGCCTAGGGCAAGACCTTAGTCATGCTCTCATGGTGCCTCCCTCATGTCTTCTATCTGGCACTGATCACCATGTAATTGCTGTAGGGTTGGTTAATGCAGAATTCTAATGCAGCGTGGCACCGTGAGCATTTGGACCTGATAATTCTTTGTTGCAGGGGGTTGTTCTGTGCATGCCAGGATGCGTAACAACATCACTGACTTCTGCCCACTAGATGCCAGCAGCAACCCCTCCCCATGTTGTGACAACAAAAAACCATCCCCAGACATTCTCAAATATCCCTGGGGGTAAAACTGCCTCTGGTTGTCCAGTTAGAAGGTAAGTTCCATGAGGGTGGTCCAAACACTGAGACCCCACGTCCTCAGTTCCTCAGGGCTTCCGTGGCCTTGCCCTGGAAGTCACTCTTCTGGGTAGCTGATCTTCCCCCTTCCTTAGATTGAGCCATGCACTGCCTGAGAAGTGAGTCAGCCCTTCCTTTCTACGAGATTCTCCTCTGTGGGCTTGAGCTGCCAGAGGGCAGGGACTGCCACTTACTGGCTTCTGCATCTGCCAGTGCCCTGCCAGGTTTTGCTTTCAGGGTGGTCAGGAAATGACTGCTGGGGGAACAAAACAAGGAAAAGTGGGGAGGGGGCTTCCTAGCACTGTGAGATGCAAGGTGCACAGTGATGGTCCTCCTTGACAGGGGTGACTTCTAGTTTGAATTTTTTTTTATTTTTAGGAAGTTCAGACTTTTATTAGGTACCCTGAGGCTGACCCTGGGGAAAGTGGTGGCTGGCTGCACAGTACTCCCTAAGACAAAGAGGCAATGAGGGAGGAGCAGTCTGGGGAGGGCTGGGCCCTGACTGAGGGTCCTGTAACCAGTCCTGCTGACTTGCCTCCCCTCCCACTTTGCTCTGCATCCTCTGGGATGATCACATGGTAAGAATCTGTTTTGAAGACACAAAAGGCTTCATGGAGGCTTCCAGGGCACGCTGGTAGTCCTGTAGTGGGACCTCGGTGCAGGCAGGGCCTGTGAGCTGGCCTTGGCGGATGAGATCGCAAAGTGTAAGGATCATTTCCTTGAACTGGTCTGTGGGAGGTTGGAGGAAGTCAGACAGGGGAATAGCTGCTGGGGCTTGGTGAAGACTGGGGGCAGGAGTGGGCACTGAGTTCCCTTGGAGCTTTGAGAGTCCAGGCTTTGCCAAGGATGGTGTGGCTGTGGAAGCAGCCTGGTCCTTTCCTGTGTTCAGAACAGTGAAGGCCAGGGTGGGGAGAGAGGAACATGAGGAGTGGCCCTAGAAGCTGATGGACAGGCAGGTAGACATGGCTCAGGCCCACAGAACCTGACTGGGGTGTAGCGAGGAGCAGTGAATGGTGGGAGGGGCATGATTACTTTGAAGCAGGGAAACCAGAAGAGGCACAAGGTGGAAGCTGGGTGTGCCTGGCACACCAACTGTGGAACAGACAAGCTTTGCTCAGGGAAAGAAGCTTTCCCTGGGAGTCCAGGATTCCCAAGGGCCCACAACTTGAGGCCACCACCAACATCCTCTTCCTGCTCCTGCCTCCTGCTAAGGACCCAATATGGTATGGGATGAGAAGTGAAGGCCTTGGCTGTGAAGTGTTTTCTTGACACATAAATTCATTCAGCCTTTAAATCTAATTGCGTTTCCTGCTTAAAATACTTTAGTGGCTCCTCAGTCACCTTTAAGATCAAGTCCAAATGCTTTAAGTACTGTCCCAACCCACCTGTTCAGCTCCCCTGCCCCGGTTCAGACCTACTGCTCCCGGTTACTCTGAACCACCTGGTGCTGGTGAGATGCGCTTTTGCACAGGTTATTTTTTCCACCACTCACACCTCTACTTTCCTCCCCTTTACTTGGGTCTCTGTGTGGTTCTTCATTCTCACTTTGGGGGTCACTGCCAGAAGAGGAAGCATGGTGTCTTGGCTCAGGTTTTAGAGTCAGAGAGACTGTGTGTTCACATCCTGGGTGTACCCCTCCCTAGGTGGGGGGGACTTTGGGCAAGCTACTTAACCACTCTGAACCTCAGTTTCCTCTGTCAAACAGGGCTAACAAGAGTTTAAAATTATTATGTTTAAACCAGGCATACTTGCCCAAGGGCCCAGAACTCTATCCAGCGATGGTGGAGGCAGGATTTGAACCCAGACAGGCTGGCTCCAGAATCTGACCTTTTTGCCTGGCTGTTTTCCCTGCTATCAGCTCCTCAGGACAGGGGCAATATCTGTCTTGTTTGATATTGTGCCTCCAAGGAGGCTGACTGTGGCTGGGGCTAGAGGCTATTTCCTTAGTCCTGTTATGGGGCTGGGGACCCAGTCACCTCTCTAGGGCTCAGAGTAGCTGGTCACTTCTGCTGCCATTCTTAGGCACTGCATCTGGGCCTGTGACTCTTGGCATCAGGGCCATCTACTCACCTGGACTGTGGTCTTTCTTCCACTGGGACATCCAAAAGCCCCGAAGTTTGAGATCCTTAAAAATGAGCAGGCTCTGTGGACACAGGAAGGATATACTGGGCTCTGAGGGCCAGGACTCCAGACATCACTAAAGGGCAGACCCCTTCCCAAGGGACAGGGAGATGACCTGAGTTTATACAGCTGAGCTGTTCAGCCCCTGTCTCCAGGCATGCCTCCCCTCCCGCACCAGCTTACCACCGAGGCTATGACGGGTTGCTTGGCCATCCCCCCATAGGTCACCATAGTTCCTCCAGGCCTGAGGAGTCCAAAGAGAAAAAAAGTGGGCGCAGAGACAGAGCCCTTCTTAAACCTATCATGGCGCTTCTATTTCAACCCTGAGTCCTAAACCTGTCTCAGAATCCCTGGAAAGGGTTAAAAAAATACAGATTCCTAGCTCTAACTTCAGACCTAATGAAGCAGGAGGCAAGAATGAATATTAAAAAAAACAATACACATACACCCTTACACCCTCCAGGTGTCTTGGCTGTTCAGCCAGGGTTGGAAACCCTCTGATCTAACCCACCCAGCCAGGTTTTACATGTTGCAAAGAAACACACCCTACAGAGAAGTGCTCAAGACCTAAGTTCAGCCTTGGCTCTACTCCCACTTATAGGTTCATGGCCTTGGACAAGGCATTGAAAACAGACCAGACCTCATCTGCTCATTCTGAGGATTAACGTGATGAAATAGCTCTATAGGCAGGCATGATGTGGACTGTGTAGGGGCGATGATGAAAGCGCTCTCACCACGGGAGGTGCTTCGTTAGTATCTACTCTCTGATCCCGCCCTATCCCCTTCCCCAACTGCAGTTCAACAGGAGGCTAATAGAACTTTTAGGAACTAACAAGCTAACAAGTCACTTGACTTAACCCATTTCCCCTTCCCACTCCCTGGCTCTTTTAAGAGTCTGTTGATCAAGGATGACCTCAGGAATATTTTGGGACAACGTAAGGAAAACTTTGGAAACTACCAAGTGGAAAAAGCAGCTATGTGGGGCGAGTAGCTGTCCCTAAGGCTACTGGGTGGTTTGGTTGTAAGTACCTCTCATCTGCTACCTGGTCTAGAAAGGAGCTCCTGGGAATCAGGCCCTCTCTCCTCTGTGTCCCCACTGTGCTTGGTCTAACCAGACTAGCTAATATTTATTGAGCATCTACTATGTGCCAGGTACAGTTCTAAACATTTGACATGTATTGTCTCAGTGAATCTGCCTAATAACCCCAAGGGAGCACTTTTTTTTTTGAGACAGAGTCTCACTATGTCGCCCTCTATTATAGAGTGCTGTAGCATCACAGCTCACAGCAACCTCAAACTCTTGGGCTTAAGGGATTCTCTTGCCTCAGCCTCCCAAGTAGCTGGTACTACAGGTGCCTGCCACAATGCCTGGCTACTTTTTTGTTGCAGTTGTCATTTTTTTTTTGGTAGAGACAGAGTCTCACTTTATTGCCCTCAGTCGAGTGCCGTGACATTGCACAGCTCACAGCAACCTCCAACTCCTGGGCTTAGGTGACTCTCTTGCCTCAGCCTCCCGAGTAGCTGGGCCTACAGGCGCCCACCACAACGCCCAGCTATTTTTTTGTTGCAGTTTGGCTGGGGCCGGGTTTGAATCTGCCACCCATGATATGTGGGGCTGGCACCCTATCTACTGAGCTACAGGCACCACCCTGTTTTTATTGTTTTGAGATATGACATCTAGTTCTTGCCTCAGTCTCCCGAGTAGCTGGGACTACAGGCACCCGCCACAATGCAAGGCTATTTTTTTTGTTGTTGCAGGTTGGCCAGGGCTGGGTTTGGACCTGCCACCCTCAGTATACGGGGCTGGCATCCTACCCACTGAGATGCAGGTGCCGCCTGCAGTTGTCATTGTTGTTTAGCTGACCTGGGCTGGGTTTGAACTGGCCAGCCTTGGTGTATATGGCCAGCATCCTACCCACTGAACTACAGGCAGCGCCCCAAGGGAGTACTTTTATTTTTAAATTTATTTTTATTTTTAATATTTTATTTTATTTTATTTTGTAGTTTTTGTCCAGGGCTGGATTTGAACCCGCCACCTCTGGTATATGGGGCTGGCGCCCTACTCCTTTGAGCCACAGGCACTGCCCCAAGAGAGTACTTTTAATATCCTTATCTTACAGATGAGAAAATTGAAGTCCATCCCTCATTTGTATATCAATTTGTATGCCATCTTAGTGCTCCTCAGATCAATCTTCAGGGGGCAGAAGGGATTTATATCACCCCCATTTTACAGATGAAGAGACTGAGGTATGGATCATTTTTCACGTCACCCCTAACCTTTTACAGGTTCACAGCTAGTAAGTAGTGGAGGTGGGTACTGACCCTAGCCATTCTGACTCTAAAGCCTGCACATGTAACCACTGCACGATGCTTTATCCCACAGTGACACTGGGATCGCAGTCTGCCCCAGCGGCTGCCTGAGGTAGGGCTGATGAGGTGTGTTCTGGAGTTAGGCATATGGGGGTCAAGCCTGGCTCTCCTGCTCACTAGACCCTGGGACAAGTACTTATACTCTCTGGGCCTCATTTTCTTTAAGTATAAAAGGAGACTGGACTAATACCCCATGTCTGGAGGCTGTGGGATGGGTAAGTCAGCATCACACACAATCTGACACATGGTAGATGCTGAGAGAGTCTCACCACAGCTCTTTGACCATGTGACTCATCTGCCAGTGTGGCCTGTGAGTCCTCAGAGGGTACCTCAGGGGCCCAGCCATGGGACACTGTACCTGGTAGCTAGTGAGTGCTCAGCAAATAGATGTTAAATGGGGCGGCATCTGTGGCTCAGTGGGTAGGGCGCTGGCCCCATATACTGAGGGTGGCGGGTTCAAACCCGGCCCTGGCCAAACTGCAACAAAAAAAAAATAGCCATGGGTTGTGGCAGGCACCTGTACTCCCAGCTACTCAGGAGGCTGAGGCAAGAAATCGCCTAAGCCCAGGAGTTGGAGGTTGCTGTGGGCTGTGATGCCATAGCACTCTACCAAGGGTGATAAACTGAGACTCTGTCTCTAAAAATTAAAAAAAAAAAAAAATATATATATATATATACACACACACACACACATATATATATATTGCATCAATGTTGTTGAGGGGACTGCTACTTTAGTTGGGAAATGTCTTTTTAGGCTACCCTCCAATTCAAGAAGTTTATATTAAAGAAAAGAAGAATGGAAGAATATGTATTATTAACATTGTCAACAGGGCTCATCTCCTTTAGTCGTGGGATCAGTAACTTTTATGCTTTCATTTTCTTTTACACTTTTATGTGCTTTAAAAATGTTTGTAATAAACATGATGTTACCTCCAAAATTAGAATTGATAGAAGAACCCAAGGGAATGCAGTGAAGTGGTCAACATAAGGCCTACTCTACTGAGATGTACATGTGGTGCATGTCTAGTCTATGAAAATTAGGTCAACTTACGGAGATGGTCAATGTAGGGAGGTGGTCAACTATGGAGGTTCTGCTATATTTACTTATTAAAAGCTAATAAGCTAAGATTAAATGACTTCTTAAGATGCCCCTAGGTTATGAATCCTTGACCATTCCCCTATTGTTGAGAGCTTTAGCAGTCTACTTCTGGGGGCACTTGCAAAAATAAAGCTGGATGGATTGCTCAGTTGTCTACCAAGGAGGAGGCTGAGAAATAAGTGCCCAGATAGCTAGATGACTTTGTTCTTACTCAGTGTTGTGCTGACCCGGCTGTGGCTGCCATTGGCCACTGATACTCGGTCAGTTGATGGTCCTCCCAGTTAAAGACCTAATAGAGAACTCCAGTAAGCTGAAGCTGCAGGGCCAAGGGACTTACGCTAACTGCCGCAGCAGCTCTGTGGAGCTCTTCCCACCGACACAGTTGAGAGCAAGCCGTGGCTGGGGCATGTCCTGGAAAAAAGGAACCTGCAGTGAGGGAGGTACAGCTCTAATGTGCCAGGTCTGAGCTTGCTACAAATGCTATTTCCCTGGCCCAAGTGCTGTGTGAGAAGGAGGGAGTGAAGACAGTGGAATGTTTATACCTTTAGACTTGTTTTTTGCTCTGCCCAGAAAGAGCCTTTCCTGTTTCAGAACCTGGTTCAAAACTTAGCTCCTCTGGGGCAGAACAGGCAAAGAGCATCTATGTTCCGTTTCAGTGGAGTTCAGCTCCTAGAGTGTGCCTCTTCCCAGCACTTATGACTCAGTTTATATGAGATGTGCTCATCTACTGCTTCAAAGTTTACCAGAGGCATGTGTTCTTGAGTGAACACGTTATCTTTGGTCCTTCCAGATGGTTCAATGCAAAAAGGCTAAGATAGAATATGATCACTTGCTAGGTGGATTGGAGGGGGTGGGTGTTCTGGAAGGTTAAGAGGTTTTGAGTTATGAGCAACTTGAGGCCAGCCCCTGAGTCCACCACCCATTAACTATGTGGTCTCGGTCAAATTCTTTGCCTCTTCTGTGTTTTGGTTTCCTCATCTATAAAACAGGTAACAACTCCTTTGTAGAGCTCCTGTGGGTATTATCAGATGAAACGTAACACAGGTGCTTAGGAAACATTGCTTCTTTTCTTTTGCTTCCCTTTTTGTGCCTCTATTTCTCCAGGTCTTCTCTTAGCTTTTATTTTATTTTTTTTAAATTTTCATTTATTTATTTATTTGAGAGTCTCACTTTGTCACCCTTAGCAGAGTGCCATGGCATCCTCTCTCAGCTTTAAGAGTCACACAACTGTGACACTACCAATGTTTAAAACTGTAAATCATATAGCATGTCCTAGACTCTGTTTCTCCTGCTTCCTTCATGGCATCTGGGCATTTACTGCATGCTGCCCCTGCTAAGGGGAATGGGCTTTACCTACCCAAGAAAAGGAGAGGGAGGTTTCAAAGAGGAAAGATGGGGCCAGGCCCCAGCTCTATTTCTTTTTGAGACAGAGTCTTGCTCTGTTGCCCCAGGTAGAGTGCAGTGGTATCATTATAGCTCACTGTAACCTCAAACTGCTGGGCTCAAGTGATTCTTCTGCCTCAGCCTCCCAAGGAGCTGGAACTATAGGTGTGTGCCACCACCTCTGGTTAATTTTTCTATTTTTAGTAGAGACAAGGTATATCATTTTTGCTCAGGCTGGTCTTGAACTCCTGAGCTCAAGTGAGCCTACCATCTCGGCCTCCCAGAGTGCTAGGATAACCAGCATGAGCCCTTGCACCCGGCCTCCCAGGTACCTTAAAGATGTTTTTCATTTCAGGCCTTCTTAACTCCTCCTCTGTGATGACATGTTCGGCCCCCAGATTCTTCAGTCTGTCAGTTAGTTTCTGGATGTCAGGTCTGGAAGCCAAACATAATCCAAGGTCCCTGGTCACACCTGCTGGCTTTCTCCACCCCAAGCTCCCAGGACCCTCTGCCAGAGCTGTGAAAACCCATGTTTCTTTTTGCAGAAAGCTGGTTGGGTTTAAGTAAGGTTTTGAGCAGGGATCGACCAGCTTATTTCAACAGGCTCTAGTAGTTTCCTCACAGGGATGAGAGAGCTAAACTGGGTGGCTTCTATAGCCCCTGCCACTTTAAGAATGCTAGAAACTATCTGTTCCCAGGGAAAACTTATTTCGCTTCCTGATTCCTCCTACTGAAAAGAAAAACTCCACTTCCTTTCCCTACTCTTTTCAAGGGGCTCTTCAGAGTGTTGTGCAAACACTCTGGCCCAGGAATGGCTCTGGGCCTCTCTAGATAAGGCATACAGTATCATTTTTGTTAGCACAACTGAGGGGATGGGGAGTTGAAGTGAGTATCGATTCTACTAAGACTGGACATCCATGACAGACATACCACATTTGTGGACAACGAGGCTTAAAGGAACTGGATAGGACGGAAAGAGAACAAGTGAGGAAATGAAATCTGCTACTGAATTGCTGTGTCTTCAAGAGCAAGTAGCTTCCTCTCTCTGAAAGTTGTTTCTTCATCTGTAAAAGACAGATGACAAACCTGCCCCTCTCCTTCACATCACACAAATGCAAGGGGAAAAGAAAAGGCCTTGGGTCAGATAGTTTGCAGGAAGAATAATACAGTTCCCAACATTCCCAAATAACAACTATGGTTTGGAAAACATGGGCTTGTCACAAATCAAGAGTCTCAAACACTCTTAGCTGTTCAGTAAGGGAAGTCTTCACTTCTTTCCTGTTCTCTCTTTACATTTGAGATTCACTCATCCCTTAGACAAAAGCCACCCTGACTTCATTCCTCTGGGCTGACTCATCTGTGTCAACTGCCAATTGTTAGTGAACCATAAAGGCGGCCAATTACTGCCTATGCAAGGGCGCCATCTGGTGGCCAAGTGGGCACTGCAGGGTGTGAAGTTAAGGCCAAAGTTCTGGGGTGGAATTAGGTCCCCACGCACCTGTCTCGGACCACGTTGATGGACCTCAGGCCCAAGGCTGCGGCGATCTGGATGACTGCTTGTCCCACTCCACTGTTGGATGCATTCTGGATGACAGAATCCCCTATGGAGCCAGGAAGACACCCAAGTCAAGGCTTCGAGCTCTGTAATGAGTCAGGGGTTCCTGGCAAGAGATGGGAGTCCTCAGGCTCAAAAAGGTCTGAGGCCCTGGCTGCTGAGCCATCTCAGACCTTGCACTGTTGCTCACCATTCCCCTGGTGACTTCCAAACTTTCACACACCCTTTATGCCTCCCAGAGCTTGATGACTTAGTGTCTACAGTGGACGCAACCTGTGGGTCGCAACCCACAGAACTGTATTAAAGGGCTGCGGCATTAGGAAGGTTGAGAGCCACTGCTGTAGACCCTGCTGTGTAAAATGTTTTATATCCTTCATCATCCTCCCAACTTTTTTTTTTAACTGAGACAGAATCTCACTTTGTCACCCTCTGTAGCGTGCTGTGGTATTACAGCTCACAGCAGCCTCAAACTCTTGGGCTCAAGTGATTCTCTTGCTTCAGCTTCCCAAGTAGCTGGGACTACAGGCCCCTGCCACAACACCCCGCTATTTTTGTTTGTGTAGTTTGTTTGTTTAGCAGGCCCAGGCTGGGTTCGAACCCACCAGCCCCGGTGTATGTGGCCGGTGCTCTAACCAATGGGCTATGGGCACGCAGCCACAACGTTTTTTTTGAGACAGAATCTTACTATGTCACCCTTGGTAGAGTGCCATGGTATCACAGCAACCTCAAACTCTTGGGCTCAAGAGATCCTCTTGCCTCAGCCTCCCAAGTAGCTGGGACTATAGGCACCTGCCACAATGCCTGGCTATTTTTAGAGATGGGAGTCTCACTCTTGCTCAGACTGGTCTCAAACTCCTGAGTTCAAGCAATCCACCCACCTCAGCCTCCCAGAAATGCTAGGATTATAGGCATGAGCCACTGCACCTGGCTCTGTCCCAACTTTTATGTCCTCAAGTCTCTGGTTAGGTTATTTACGTGGTTTCCAATATTGTCCTCCATCTCTGTTCCTTCCTTTTGAAATCCTATAGATCCTTGGAATTACAGCTCAGGTGTGTCTTCCTTTATGAAGCTTCCTGATTCTTCTCTCTACCTGTGCCCACACAGTGCTCTGTGGGCAAATCTATTAATATGCACACCATGGCTTGCCCTGTCCTTTTTTTTTTTTGAGACATAGTCTTATTTTGTCACCCTTGGTAGAGTGCCATGGCATCATAGGTCACAATAACCTCAAACTCTTGGGCTCAAGATGCCTGCCACAACACCCAGCTATTTTTTCCCCCCCTCAAGTTATTTTATTTATTTATTTATTTTTGCAGTTTTTGGCTAGGGGCTGGGTTTGAACCCGCCACCTCCAGCATATGGGGCCAGTACCCTACTCCTTTGAGCCACAGGCACCGCCCAGCCCAGCTATTTTTTGAGACAAGGTCTTACTCTTGCTCAGAGATGCTCTCAAACTCCTGAGCTCAGGGAATCCACCCACCTCAGCCTCCCAGAGTGTTAGGATTACAGGCATGACCCACCATGCCTGGCCTGGCCTCCCTTGTCTT